CAAATTGGACGTCATGGCCCCACTGTACCTCCTAATGAGTATTATGCTGGCCCTTCTCACTCTCATGCCACCCTTCATCCAGTACACGGTTTTTCACAACCCCATTTCCCTCAGTCCTCCTCTGATGCAGCTCCTCCATATTCTGTAACTGATCTGAGTCCCTCAACTGACACATCGAGCGTTATGGATCTTCAACTTGGTCACTAATTTGTTTCAGGAAGACATAATGTAAAATGTAAAGAGACATATTATGTTTTCAGAAAAGAATAAAAACACTGATATAAGTATTTTGTTTCATTATACATAACATGAAAGTTTTGGGTTCCCCTACCTTAATGTCACTGCTATTCTCTCCACAGCGGGGATACATCTCCTCATGTTGGTGTCCCTCTGATGGAATGAAAACCTCAAACTGTTGTGTAATTCATCGAAAGAAGATATGGACATTCTGAAGTAATTAAAAAATTTTCTTTCGTCCTCCCGCAGCTTATGAAACAGAATATAAAAGCACCCTTCTTCTAATCTCGAGCTAATTATAGGATGAACCCATAATGTTCGATTACTTTTCCTTTTCTTTTTCTTATTAATTGCTAGGATTAATAAAATTGCAGCTTCTTCTGGTTCAAGCATGACTACACTACGCGCTGCACTAAACTGCTGTCATCCTTTCGGTGACTGCAGCGGCGCACATGAGCCACTACGCCGCTCAGCTGAGCGGCTCCCGTGCACCGGTTCACGAGAGCGACTAGTTCTCTCTTACTTATTAATCCCGTCATTAATTCTGGCGAATCTGTCGGCAACCTCACTATTGTTTCGCTTCTGGGTTTTAGTATGGTGTATACTGTATCTGCTTGTCCCTTTGCCTCCGTGTCTTCGTCGAATTTTACTCTTGCTTTCCCCATTATGACCTGTCTGTGGCTATAATCTATCTTGGCTTTTTGTTTTTCAAAGAAGTCCTTCCCCAGAATTCCATCGCACGGTATGTCTACCCCATCTCGCACTATCTGAAATGGATGTTCTATTTCGTGCCCTGCAACGCACAGCCTAATGTTAAGTTCTCCCAATGTTCTCTCTACCGAAACTGATATGCCCTTCACATTTAGAATTTTCCTCTAGTTATATAAAATGCCCTCTTTAATACTACTGTATTTGCACAGGCAAAGCTCTGCACCTGTATCGAACAATAATTTCATGTTTCCCTTAACTCCTGCATCTGTTTCCAGGGCAATGGTGCTTAATGGAGAACCTGCTGTCTTTGTACAGCCTAACATTACCGTTGCTGGGTCCCAGAAGGGCTGCTCCTCTGTTCCCATCTTCAGTTTTCCGAATTATTCTGCCTCTTCCTACACACGCGCTTAATGTGCCCCCTCTCCCCGCATGCATAGCAAATAATTCCCGCATCTGTAGCCTTCGTAACTACATGCATACTAATTCCCGTACCCTTCCGCACGTCGGCGCCTGTTCCGCGTCCGGGACGCGCCATTCCTCTGCTTAAATCTCGGTTTGCAAACCCGAATCCTCTACCGGATTCTTTATCCATCCTTCCATAATTACCTGTTGCCCTACCGGCTATCTCAGGCCCCTTATTAAATTTCTGTGGCGCGAAGCCCCTTTCTTTAACAGACAATATTGCTGACTCTTCCTCTAGTGCAGCGTCTATGCATACTGATAATGCTACCGACTCGCCCTTTGCTCTGACGATCGTTTGAATTCTCTCGTTAACTAATCCTTGCACAAAACAAGCCTTAGCCAGGTGGTTAATTAATCCCATGGCTCCTATTACTTCGTCCTCTTCACAAATCCTGAAGGCCGCTTCCCTCAACTCTGACTGCATTGTATCTATTCAGCTTCTCCACGCTGCTATCGATTCATGATTATTGATTGCCTACTGCTGAACATACGGCAAGCATAGTAATCCAGCGTTCTTTTCACGCCGTAATTTTCTTCCAGTATTTGCTTAACTTACCGCAGGTGGAAGAAAGGTCCCTAACTAACAGTTTGGNTAGCATCTCCTGTAATCTTGGTTTTCACAAATTTCAACAGTAAGTTATGTTGGTCCGGCCTAACGAGTTCGAAGGCGGTACTTACGTTATCAATAAATTCTTTCAGTTTTCTCCGATCACCGTCGAAAGGTACGCTTATCAGTTTCATTGCCTCTGAAATACTGCAATACTGCTCTACACTGCTTTCTGCCATTTCCCCTGAATCTAATTGACTCATGCTGATCAGATATAGTAGCTGCTTAATACGTGTCGCGATCACTGTATTCCCTTTCTAAACACACACACAAACTATATTCACACTATTCTAGGAAACAATGGGCGTATGCAACCACTAGTGAAAATTATGCAATCTGAGCGTAGCTTACCTTAAAACACGACGCGCAGCGGGCTGTCGGACGACAGGGGCTTCCCGCGTGCCGGTTGATGGTGAAACGGTTGTGGTCCGGTCTCCTGGGGTTCCTCGGTTCGGCTCTCGTGACAGGTGCGGGATCCACCTCAGGTTTACCTGGACAGCAGAGCCTGCAGTAGCGGTAGCTGCTGTAGATGTCCTCAATTATCGACAGCCCTTGAAGAACCGACTCGTGCCATGCTCCGGAGGTCGTCTATCTTCAAGCGATAATGTCGGATGATCACAGAGGTCTTGGTTTATCTTACTGATCGGGCGCAAGGAGGGCTGCGGTCGGAGCTGAAGTAACCCGTCTCGTACAGTCACCAGGAGTTGACGTCTACTCCCCGGTGATGGTGAGAGTTATACAACCGTAGCCTGCTGCGGACTGGAACCGCTCCTTGGTCCTTCGTGATCAAACGGGCTCACTGACGATGCCCGGAAGATATTGTAGCGATGCTTATCGGGGTTGGCCTTCCCCAACAGGATCGCAGATGTGATGGTTGTTGATCTTGCCGGTATTGTGTAGGTGAAGATCGACTGCGACGCTTGTACACACACCACCACAACAACAACAACACCCCACACCTGACACCAGTTTTTATGTCCTATCCCTACCTGGNGCTGAAGGTCTTGGGCCCTTGACCAGGCAGCTGGAATACTCGCCTACAGATGAGCCGAGCGGATGCTGATCTGCTCAGGTTGCCGTGGAGCGCTGGATAAGGCGTCGCTTAAGAGTGATATAGCCCAAAGAACAATCCTCGGTGGTTGGTGGATAAGACTATTTATTGAAGGTCCATGAATACAAACTCCGTTGCCGAGACTTAGGAACACCCAAGGCAAGCGACCTGCGTAATAACGTTAACTTTCTGGATAAGTGTGAAAATGAAGAGTCCCCCCCTCCGCTTTGTTTGCAGGAATATATATAGGCTTGTACATTGAAGCCTCCCCCTAAAATGACGTAGGTAGCGTCCTTACGTATTCTTTGTCTCGGCATTACAAGAAACACTTGCATAAACTAAGCTAGACTAAGCTGGTCTGTGTCACTCACTCCCTATTAGGGTCGCCATACATATACAACTTCCCTTGGCTCCCTCTCGGATAAACACATTAAATCTCCTTAACTAATTACTCTGAACTGTCAGAGATTTTTACTATGTGGTTCGCAACCCACGGATACGACAGTACAGTTCACAGAAAATGCAGACAAATCGGGTGAATAAGACAGAGGAAAGTCTCGATTTCGCACGAAAGGATATCGGCCAGTATGAATTTGCTGATTTTAGGATTTTGAATGAACAGAATGTCAATGATGTTGAATTTCGGTTGGCTCGGACGAGAGAAGCCGCTGGCACTCGGACTTCAGGAGTTTCTCAGTGCAGCGTTCGGTAGAGCCGGTGCGAAAGAGTTTAGAGGTGGCGTGCCGGCCATCTTTACTCTGCGACTCGTCTCGTCGCGCAAGTGCTTTCCTGTTTTCGGTCCACTGATGGTTGTTACTATGTAATTCTGGCCCAATAACGATTAGGCTATGGATTTCGGTTTCTTAATTGATTGTTACGGCAAATTGGTCGAAAGAATTTGGCTAATGAATTGCTGAAATGTAAATTATGATCTTTTATTAGATTACATAAATTTTCGATTATAGACTCATGGCTAAGATACAAACATTCAGTTCAGTATTTAAGTGTTAGGATGTAACATTTGGTTTGCTAATGGCTTGTCGAAATATAAAAGCTGGTCACATGATTAATTGTTAGGATTTGAACCCTGGTTGCAGAGTATGAAAATTGATACATTGATTGACAGTCAGAACGTAACATTTGATTCACTAACTGAGTCATTGTGAGGGTATAAAAATTTAGTTTATTGTTAAGAAATAAATTCTGGTTAGAGTGTGAAGTTAGTTTGCTGTTATTACATGACAATTTTGGTTTACTGACTGCAGAGTACAGAAATTTGGGTTACGTCATTGAGGTTCAGTAGACGATGATAGCCGGTGTCTCGGCCGATATTCGAACCCAGTATCTCCGAATAAATATCTAGAGCAGTACCTCTAGACCAGTGGTTCCCAGCGCTTTTAACATAACGTTCCGTTTTGGTTCTCACCGAAGCCTCCTGCCGCCGCCCCCCCCCCCCCCACGCACTAGCACACGCACTCGTCTTATTGTTTACGGACAAATGACCCGCAATCGGTACTGTAATGTCGTCGCTGCCACCGGTGATGTCGTAGGCGTGGTCTCTCGATAACAGCTAGACGTCACAATGTCGATGCCTCAGGATGTTCTAGATTTCGACGATAAATTGGGATAGTTACGGAGACTTGTAGGTAAGCAAGAAAAACTAAGTCTTCTTGGTTGCAACAAGAGATCTCTCTTTACTGGATCTAATAGACCAGCGTGGTGGAAGTACAAAGTATAAAGTTTAACTGTAGAGAAGCAGAGCTTCGCCCTCTATAATGTGACCAGAAGATCTGATCCCGCGTGTTTTCACACGTGCCTTCTTATAGGACCAAACTGGGCGTTGGTTCACAGGAATGCACTCACATCTCCCCTCCAAAATGCATTAGGGTCAGCTGTGCATTAAGGTTACAAGAAACAGAACTCCCAGAGCCTTGGCTCGAGCGTGGGAGAGAACTTTAAGTTTGTGTCTCAACCCCAGATTCCTCCTATAATGCCTTTAAAGTGCAAAATACAATTCAAAATGTTACACAGAAATACACGTAAGAT